CTTCCCCTCGCTACGCCAGCACGTGCACTCCAGCAAGCACTAGTACCAAGAACGTTTCGCGCACGTACCCCCAGTAGTACGCCGAAACGACATACTCTGTACGTATACCCCAGCTCTAAAATAGTAGTGCAGAGAACGTCTCCCGCATACGTACGTTGCACGAACACCCCCGAACCGACATGGTTGATTTTACACACCTCTGATGCGGCGAGTCCAGGGACAACGTCCAGCGGCAGAGGGTTCATGGCGTCGCGGATCACCGTGAGGCATGTGAGAGGGATGAACTTGTTGACGCTGGATGGCATTTTTTGTTGCGTTTGTGTTGGTGTGGAAGAAGGAGGAGAGACGACAAGGGAAGCGGGGCACGCATGAGACATGCATACATTAAAAACAACAAATTCCTGGTTGAAAGCCCTTGAGATGTGAGCTCTCAATGTAGGCTGCGTAGAAAGCAGCTGCAATCCAAAATCGACAGGCTGGGAAAAAACGGGATGGCCCACACACAAACGAGGTCAGACAAAAAACGAACCGGCTTGTATACTCGCGCTCGACGTGGGGGTCACAACAGGCCGGTGGAAAGGAACGAGCTCCACCTCAATGGTGGTAAGCGTGTCGCTCTTCTCTGCTATAGGTTGGCAAGGACAAGAGAGCTACGAGAACGCGCGAGGGCACGAGTTCAACCACGCTCGAACCTTACCACCGAGGGAACGATGAAAAGAGAACACAAGACAACTCACCATCCCCCATGTGCCTGTATGCACTGCCTGTGTTCTTTGTTGGTATGGTCCATTCAACGGGAGCGGTGGGGGTAGACCTTGTCAGACCACTATTCCACGAAAATCGGAAATCGGAAATCGGAAATCGAAAGTGTCACTGACTGGACAGAGCTCCAGTGTTCCGCCGCCGGTTTTTCGAACTGGGGGTTAAGTGCTCCGAATATTCCCCGATACGGAAAAATCAAAAGCGAGCACGAACAGGCTCGAAATCGAAAATCGAAAATGCCAACCTGAACATCAAGCTGGCTGCCACACCCTCACAGAACCGTGCATGCCTCCATTTCGATACTCGTCTAGCCACCTACAGACTGCTTGGTGATGCAAGAGCGTGACAGAAAGCTGACATCCAGCGGAGCATGGTATACTTGCTTTGAGCGAGATCTGCTCGAAGTTGAGAGAGAGAGTCACCGCCGTGAACTTCTTTCGTTGTAAATGCAGTTCAACGGCCGCTATTTTGGCTTTCTTACATCAGCGCGTAGCATTCAATGACACATTGCTCGCCGAGTTCGATGCGTATCGATGCGAGACAAAGACCCCCCAACCCGCCTACCGTATATGACACAAGATAACACACCCCCTTGACCGAATTTCGAAGCTCGGTTTCTCAACTGTAGGAACAGTCACAGCGCCGAAAACGGTGGCGTTGAAACCGTCTCGTCGAGAGCTTTTCGAAAATGTATCATTTCGTTTATGCATCCTCTTCGTCGTGGAGTAATCGAGCATTGGAAATTGGTCCAGGGGGTGTGTTATCTTGTGTCATAGTATACGGTAATGACGGTCGTTGTTCGGAGCTATCGTTGGCTGTCTTGGATGCCGTGTGGCTCTCATGTTTATGGTTTGAATAATCGCAACTGGCATGTACGGGCCTTGTTCGCCGCTTCCAGGTTGATTTTCGATTTCGATTCCCCGCCTGCGCTGTGTAGAGCCAACCCGAAATCGAAAATCTAACTCTAGTTTCGATTTCGATTTTCGATGCAACATATTTTTGATAAGGTCCACCCTGAGAGAGAATCGAGCACAAAATGTGTCTGTTTTATTCATTTTTTTTTCTCTTTTCGAAACAGCATAATCTCTCGGGCTCTCACAGGCCTCGATTTCGGTCTCTGCCGACCGCTGACAGGTCTGGATTTTGTTGTCCCGCTTCTTCCACTCCGTTAATTATCCGTTTGACCGCTTTTCCGCCGTTTTCTCGCTCGAGGAACGTTTCCACACACGACTCACACGCTTCGCACAGGGTTTCATCTTTCTCTTTCTTTCAAGCGTAGGGATCTCCACGTGGTGCTTTCCACATACTAGAAGTACATGTTTTTCATCTGTCACACACTGTCGCGTTATTTATGCATATGTAATTCAATTTTCAACCCTCCGGGGGCGGGACTTGTTCTGATTCGACCATACTGACGACAAACCTTTTCAGCCTGCCAGTCAGCTGCTGCTGCGCTTTGCCGCCAGCACTACCACCCTCCGTTCGCCAATGCAAATTCGCATTTGATTTTGATGTCGGAACTACTGCACTACTACGGCTGCATAGCATGAATCGAGTAAGCCCTCTCTCTTTCTGCACGGATCCATATTTATTCTCATTTCCAATACAGTAGTGATCCCGGTACAATGTCGTTTGTCCGGTATACTGCCGGTGAAATCGGCTGGACCGCATGGAGCCCGGTACAATGCCGGTTTTGGGGGTCATCTGGTCCGCCGTGAATAATGCTGGTTCAAAAAAACAAATTGCTCACGTACGCAGCGCACGCAAAACACACACCATTCGGGGCCGTATATATACCCTTACGAGCTGTACCCTTACCACTTCTGTAGTCCGAAGGTTTTTTGTTTGGATTCTTCTGTGTTGTATTCTGGTTGGAGGGCGAATGTAACGTAGGCGGGACTAGTTGAGACAAATATTCTACATGGGTGCACTCAGATGTTTTGTACTCCAGAGAACGTTGCTTGAAATATGCGTGAGTGTGTTCAAATGTTCTTGGTTTTTTGCTCGTCCTTTTTTTTCGATGTTCGCGTTACGATATATCTTTCGTGAGTTTTTCGAGTCCAGGGATGGCATCGGGTGAGAAGGACAAGTTGAGGTTTCACACGACAAGAAGAGAGTGTGCAGAGACGATGCTGCGCATTAATCACTAAAGAGTGCAGCAGACCCACAGACACGTTAAGTGACGAGATACGGCCCATCGATGCACGCGTCTCCGAATGATTCTCGGCCGCGGCATGCTTACCAAAGCTCCTGACATGGCATCCACTTTCTTCCCCATGCTTGTGGTGTACAATATTCTGGCGTATGATCACGTCATCGTGCTGAATAACTCTATGGTTTCGTGAATAGTGCCGGCACCCGCATCATAGCAGATTTCTCAGACCCTGAAAAATGCCGGAGCCGGCTCTATTCAGGCCGACTTTATATATTGCCGGTGGCCTTCTATAATGCTGGTGAAGTTGGCTGGACCGCACCGGCATTACACCGGGACCACTACTGTACTGGAACCCGAGGGAGACTGCAGCGGGCGGGGTGGGCGCCCAAACAGGAGGCGCCAACCACGCCACTTCAACTCCTGCGTGGGTTACTTACTACAACCAGCAGGCCATGTGTGACTACGTACGGCTGCGAATGATGGCAATACCGATGCGGCTGCCTGCTGCAATCATAACAAACCAGAGACCGATGAAAAGACGGGGCGGTGTCTAGGGAAAATACGCTAAGAACACGGAACGAGGGCGCATCTCGCCGACAAAAAATCAACGAGTAGGTTGACGCTTGAAACAAAAAGCAGCAGTTTGGATTTTACCCAAGACACCTTCGGCACGTCGCGGTTGGAGCACGCGATGACTTCGCAGGGCTTCCTTGTGCAAACACACGCGCAGAACAATCGCAAAGCAACAAGTACAGCACCTGCTGTAAAACTTGGCGAGAAACTCCTGCTCCCTGGAGGTAAGCACCCTGAAACCGCCCCCGCCTTCGCCCAGGTGCCCCGCGAAGTTTCCCCCGTGGCTCCCGTCGTCATCGGAATCGTCGCGGGAGGACAGCTTCCTGCGCTTTGGGCCGCATCTCCTGCGGGGGGGGGCGGAGCACATACACACCCACAACACCGAGAGAGCTCGCTTAGAAAATTCGATGCCTGTATCCCTTTCACACGCTCATACATGCCGACGGGACCGCCTACGCAGGATTGCTAGAGTATCTAGACCTATCCCTAACCCTACACCCAAAGCACGGATTGAAAACTTTATCCCATATGTTTGCTTAATCGATTTTGCTGCGTAGACTACTGTGCCCACGAGGGGGAGAGAGAGATAAGAGAGGGAGATAGCGAGAGATAGAGAGAGAGACAGAGAGCTACCGGTAAAGGTCGATGCCTGACATCGGTCAGCCGAAAAATAGCCATATGAAAAACCGTGGATGTTATCGGAGTGGGGTTGGGGGGGGGTGCTACTGCAAGTTGCGCAAATGAAGCTGACATTTGCGCAAGACAATCTTTTCCGTCAGAGTCCTTAACTGTTCCGCTCCGTGTCCCAGGATCAAAAAAACACACAACAAAACACCTTCACTACAAACTCATTTTTGCAGGACCGCGGCGAGACTCTTGAAGCATCATCGTCGACGTCGCCGCATGTCTTTCATGCTCCCAAAAACAAAAACACGTGCACATCTCTCTTGCTGCCACCGTCACGTGCTTGCGTGTTTCTTCCACACTTTCGTGGTCGTCGCCGTCATTCTCAACTATATTACTGGCGTTTTTGCGCAATAAAAAAAAACTGCCCCTTTGATGCTGGTCAAATAAAAAATTAAATGAAGCCTTTCCACCGTGCGCAGGTAGAATCAACATTGCGGACGGACCCGGACACGCACATCGGAAAAGGTATCGAATATCGCGCTGTTTATCGTTTCGAGCACGACGAGCACATCGCCGCCCGCCACAGAACGCCAACCAACACACCGTAGACATAGCGGGACAGAACGGCGGCAAGCCCACATCAAAACCAGTCACAGTCAAGGATATCGAGTTTGCCGAAGTTCTCCGACACGGAGTGAGTAGTCTTCCCATAATGATACTGCAATCACGCAAGTTGCGTGTTATATGTGGCAAGCAAGATGCCTGACAGTCGGCATGTATGTGATATGGGTCGTGTGTGTGCAGCAAGACGCATGCATGCATCTCCGCTCTGCCGATCTCTCCGCGAGCATCTGGTATGCTTGGACCCACGCAACAACACAACCCGCTATCGATGTAGGAGCACACGGCGCATGCCTTCACAACCACGGTGCAGGTCGATTAGACCCGGCTTTTGCTGCGGATGTGCGAGGGATACAGATGTTCGGGGTATCCGTCCGAGGTGGTCGTTGTCTGTTTGCTAACCTTGCAATTCTTGCTTGCAAATTTTTCTATATGGCAATATCTCACGGCATATTTGGGCAGAATTCGCTTCGGAGGACCTTCAAATACCCCGAAGTGGTCGTTACGAGCCAAACTTTGTTCTGCGCAAACACGTCACAATTACCATTTCTACCACTTCTACTACTGTCTCTTCCCAAGTGCAACAACAACAACAACAACAACAACAACTACTACTACTACTGCTACTACAAGTATCCTACCACTGCCCACTCACTTCTTCTCCCTGTACACGCATTCCGAGCCCCGCCGCTGGCAGCGCTTGCACGGGTGCCCGCCGTCGCACTTGATCTTGCCGATCGTGCACGCATCGCACGTCGTGCGGAGGTTGTTCTCGTCGTCGTTCAGATCCAGCAGAGAGACGTTGCGGTCTACACCCCCGGGCGGCGGCGGTGGCGGCGGCGGCGCACCCCCACGCTGCTGCTGCTGCTGCTGCTGCTGCTGCTGCTGCTGCTGCTGCTGCCGCTGCTGCTGCCGCTGCTGCTGCTGCTGTTGCTGGGCGTGGGGAGCGGTAGCCTGATTTTCGCCACCGAAGGGATCCCCCATATGCCCCTTGTTTTTGCGTCCGCTGCTAATGTTGCCGCTGTTGCTGCGGCCGCCGCTGTTGCTGCCGCGGCCACTATTGCTGCTGCTGCCGTTACTGCTGATACTGCTGGGGTTCTTCTTGTTGTCTCTGTTGTTGTCACTGTCGTTGTCGATGCTGCCCGTTCCAGAAGTATGGCGGGCAAGACCAACCCGCGCTGCTCTGAGGAGCGTGTCCTGGTACACATTCATCCACGACAAAGAACGGGTAAACGCACAACATACCAAACATGACGGCAGCACGAGGGCGGGGGGAGGGGGGGAGGTGGTCGTCATTGTCAGAAACATGGGTCAGTGCACGCGAGAACACGTGCGCCGTACCCCACGTGACACATGCGGGGAACGAACCCCCCCCTGGCAGGCGGCGTGTACTAACCCCCCCCCCTCCCGCCATGCCATCGGGGTTGGGTTTTCGTCGCTTGGCAACGACGTTGTAAAACAAGCCG